CACTAAAGGGGAGTTAGTCGGTTCCTAAGAGCCAGCATGCGGGACCGGGATTCTGGGATTTGTAGTCTTTCTAGTTGCGTATTTTTCATTGTCTTATATTTCAACAGTTTTCTGACAAACTGTGACTTTTTTGACATGGAAATTATTTTTTAACATTTAGAAACATCATATGTATAATTCATGGCACAATTCAAACGGGATCGAAAGGTACGTTTTCTCTCTCCATTGATTTCAATACATTATTTTTTCCGAAATAAGGTCCCATGGACCGGAAGTTCGCCTCTCTATTATTTTAAATCTCTGATAAATGCTGTCTTTCTCTGATTACATTTGGAACTTGTTTAGACTTATCTAGCTTTTCCTTTATTTAGCTTTACACACTTATTCATTTTATTTAAGTTAATGATGATTATTGACCGTGATGACCAAAATCTCATTGTAAACAATATTTGATAATAGCAACAATGGTCAACCCTACAATATTCTCACATATCAATTCTGTATTTTCCAACCCTTTTGTAATACGAGGAATCTGAAGAAATATACTTTTTTAGATAGATTCTGAAGTGATCAAATAGTTGCTTCAGAACACAGGTGGGTTTTCTTACATTTAGATAGATTGCGATGATCAAATGTTTGCTCAGACACAGATGAAGGCGTTCGTCATCCTCCTCTGGCTGGTAGTATGGAGCAGGTAGGGTCATACCTGAAGAGCTGGGGCTGTGACAAGGGAAGGAAATAAGTGTGTTAAAGGTCTCCTATTATACTCTTTTTCATCAATATATTATAGGTCTCAGATATATATACAAAACGTGTCTCTGAAGTGTTTGCCTCCAAACACCAAACAGATCATTGTAGCATCCCATAACCCCCTCTGTTTCAGCCCTGTTTCAAAAGTGCTGATTCTCTATCTGTTACTTTAGATGAAAATAAGGAGCCCCTCCCCACGCCCCTCTGAGAGATATTTGGTTAAAAAGAACACAATGGTGCTCTAGGAGGAGATTCAGCTGATAAGGTGGGGGGTTACCTTGGTTGGTGATTGACTAATGGTTATAAAAGCCAAAAAGTCGATATGACATCATAAAGTGGCCAAAATCTGATCAGCTGATTTTCAAACAGGTTTTTATATAAATGGATCAGGACAAAAAGTGAGTAAATATTTTTTCCTGAAACTTTCAGAATCTCTTGGGGACACAATAACAAATAGGTTACCTTTACGGAATCATATCTGTATATTCATAATACAACATTGTACATATTTTAATACAGGGATTTCCATGAGGATTCAGTGAAAGAAGGAGAGGTAAGAAGGAGCAAGAGGAGAGAATGTGGAGACTCAACCAAGCCTGCAGGATAAATGCCTCACTGAGTGGAGAATAAAGTAATGCAAATGATTCTGCATTATATATTTTGTTTATTTCTTCTTCACTATAACAAGAATAACAGTGTGAATAGATAAACATGAGCACATATAGTAGAAAGAAGGAGATCAGGAATCTCCTGACATAACTAGACTGATACATTAATCAGTATTAAGCTGGAAAGTATATACAGTATGTATTTTTGAGAGACAAACCTGACCCAGCAATGAACTAGCGAACACAGCCTAAAGCTAATGCAGCGAACCAAAGGCGCGCTGACAGGTGTGGTGAACAGGGGGGGGGTCGGGCCATGAAACAATGAGTAGCAGGAGGAGAAATCAAGCAAAAGACTTCACCTTCAATGACTTATAAGCCTTTATTTATCAGTATGCCAGGAAAAGTAGGAATACAATTGCCACTATTAATAGAACGTTTTACAAAAGCAGACATCTAGTTAGTGAACCGGATCATTTGAATCAATTCTGCATTGATTTTTTGCATTTGGCTTTGCCATCTCAGGGGGTCACTGGATCGTACAGCAGCTAATGTGTTCTTTCTTTCTCACGATTTTTGTTTTTTGCTTACTCCTTGTGTGAAGTGTGGACACCAATACATCCATAGTGAAGACCTGAGAGAAGCCTTAGTGACCGCTCTCCAAACAAGCATAGATGTGTCATAGCATTTATTTAACATATATTTAAACCCTTGTCTTCACTGTATGACAAAAAAGTGCATTACTTAGCAGTCATCTAGCAAAAAGTGCTTTACAATAGGATGTTTGATAGCGGACCAACACTGTAAAAAAAAAACTAAAAAAAAACTTGCAAGTCAAGATTGGATCTCCTACTTGACAAACAGACTTAACTTAAGTGAGTTCTTCTTTTAAAACAGGGACAGCTACATAAACTCCTCAGACTGGGACTGTGATAGATCATCGTACGCCACTTTCTGAGATGCAATGTCTTCAGAAGTGTAGGATTTTAATGAGAACCATGAGGTCAATGGAGGGGTGTTCTTAAAATGTCCAAATATTTTCCAATGGTGACAATATGATTTGCAATCCAAATCTTGTTGGTCTTATTCTGAGACACAGGGCTTTTACTCAATGATGTATGTCCTAATAAAGAAGCAGTTATATAACCTGCGTCAAGGATACAAAAGGAAAATCGTATTTACCAAGCTATAGCTAACCTATTTTACTAGCATATCATTGGATATTAGTATGTTTTGCATCACGTAAAATAAGTAATGTGGAAACTTAGTTTAAAATTCAGCGTTTGTGTGCACTAGCATGAAATCAGGAGGAAAACAGATTATACTTTCATGCAAACGACACTTATAACACACACCGTCAACGAACCGGTTCACCACTTGTAAGTGCCCCTTTTCAGAGAGTGAGCGAGTCAGTAGTGATTGGCTGATTTCTGCTAGACTTAATGACACACATCTCCAAAATCTGAATCTAACTGATTGCCACCATCTGAAGCACCTCATCATTTCCCTCCAAAATCTCTTTTCACATCCACCTGGGAAATCAGGCTCAACTTCCTTAAAGCGAAAGATGGCTGCCATCGCGACAGTTCTGTGTTGATGGGGCTCTAACGAGTGCACACGTTCTATTACATACAGCAATACACAGAAGAAGAAAGTGTAAGGCACTCAAAGCATACTTGCCTCTTAGATTTTAAGTGTATACTTTAGGAAATAAGGCAATATCATTCAACTTGAAACTGCTGCTGAAACGAATTAAATAAAAATAAGAAAACACAAAATGATATGAAAGCAATGCAAAATTCACGGAAAAAAATGAGATGAATTTAGGAAAAGGAAAAACAAACGCTGCTGAACCAATCAGTAAGGCCTATTGCGTTTGAGTGTGTGTGTGATCTGACAAGATTGTGGGCTGAATGACGGCAGCTGTGAGGATGCTCATACTGAGGTCTGGGCTTCGGGAGGACAAAAATAGACCCTCTCCATCAGCAGGCCCATTACTGAACACACACTTTCAGGGTCACTGGACCTTCAGTATTTACTTATTGCACTGTCTTTGTCAGTCTGTCACTGCAGCACTCCTTTTGCTGTCCCTCCCTTTTGTTTTTTCTCATGTGTTATCCCTGTTTCTCTGTACATACCAGGCTCCTCTGTGAATGCTCTGTATTTTGCAAAGGGGGAGACAATAAGTTATGCACACACCTGCACTAACACAGTTACGTTCAGCCTGCTGCTTATTATGATATGTATAAATACAACTGAAGCTCATGCATACATTTGCATAGAGTACAACCATGCCTTGTAAGGCATTTAACCCTTTCACTATAATTCCCTTTGTATGTGTTATCTCCTCCTATCATAGTGTTAATCCTCTTGTTTCTTTCTATCTTCTTCTCTTTTGCTCCCCCCCTCTCTCTCTGATTGTCCCTTCTCCCTATTTTCCAATTACCTCCCCCATTCCTTTCCTAGCCAATTTCCTTGGTCATCCCCCATCCCACCCTGTCAATAAAGGTTAGATACTGCTGACATATATAGGGCGAGATTATCTCCTTTTACCTCACATACAAATCACACACATGACACACATGCATGCACACTAATTCCAGGATCGATCCAGACAATACCATTGACAACAATGACAGGTATAGCTTACACTGACTTACATGCAATCCAATTGAGGACACAAAACATAAACGTACAAAAATAATGAGAAAGATTATCAGTGGCATTCAAATTGGTGATTTCTTAAGGCGCTAAAGAGAAGGAAGTTAAGAGAGAGAGAGAGAGAGAGAGAGAGAGAGAGAGAGAGAGAGAGAGAGAGAGAGAGAGAGAGAGAGAGAGAGAGAGAGAGAGAGAGAGAGAGAGAGAGAGAGTGAAGGGTCCTGTCAGAGTAGTGGAGCATGAATGAAGGCTGTTGGCGCCCCCCCCCCTGCCAGTCACTTGGCACTGCTCAGCATGGCACAGCAAAACCTGGCCACACACTGAGAAAACACCTGCCAGTGGAGAGCGAGGCAGAAGGAAGGATCAAGGGTGCACAGCAGCAAAGAAAAGACACAGTTTCCAGCAATCAGATAAAGTGAAGCTCTCGAAGACATGTGAAGGCAGGATTGAATGGAAGAAAGGAAGAGATGTCATAGAAATATATACAATGAGTTTTGAATGGGAGTTGCTAATACCAAATGACTGGAGACTTTAAAAAAAGAAGAAAGAATTAAGGTTGAGGCGGAAAGCCAAGAATAAGGCTTGAAAAGAGAGAGGTAGGGATCAAAAGAGTGAGGGTGTGAAATGTGAATGCTGCACTTGAGTGCGACACTCAGCCCACTCTATCATAACCCCTCAGAGCGCTAACGTTAGCCCTTTACTTAGCATAATAGCTCTCAAGCGCTAACACACTACGACCTTCCTAATTAAGTACTCAAGCACCCAGACAAACCTGAATAATATGATACCGAACTGCTTTAAAAATAATAAGAAACAATAGCACTTTGATTAAACATCTGACGAAATGTTTTCTGAAGCTCGACTAAAACATATTCTGCTGATCAAAATGGTGTCCTTTATTTTGCTTTATCCAAAGTAGTAAAGTCAAGTCTAAGTGAGTCCAGCTAATCCCTCTATTGCCTTTTAACCCTATGAAGATAAATGCAGGAAACATTGCGTAAAGTCACTTTGTGAATTGATTACTTTAGAGGTTGTGGAGGTTAATGTAGCCACTCAAGTTTAAGGTGAGGACAAAGCAGGCGGGACTGTGCCAGCGGGCGGACACGTGTCTCCTTTCACCTGGCTATCAGATTTCTCATTAGTATATACGCTATGTCAGCATAACCTGAGACAGAGTGCACAGAACAGTATGCATGGCACACCCACATTAAGGACATACGCATTTTAAACCGGCATACACCAGCTTAAAAACGGAGAGAATGTCATGAAATCCAACGCTCCTGAACACTTGTGAATGTCACTCACACACAGACACAGTAGGTGATGCCATCATGCAGGGTCATGAATATGGAGGCGTGCAGCTGGAATATAATGCTCTCAGAAGCAAACTGGGTAAAACTTTATTCCTTGCTTTGAAGATTGACACGGAGAAAGAAACACTGAAAGGTGGAGTTATTCTAATGTCTGTAGTAAAATATACAAAACATACAGCATAGGTTTAATCCTGTGTGAAAACCATGAGAGGGGAAACGTTTACAGTATGAGAAGATTATGTGATCATACACAGACATCAGAGATTTTTACGATATATGATTATTTTACAGATTCATAACTGAAATTTATGTTTTTTCAAATTCACGAGTAAAACACGATGAAAGGGAAAATAATTGGAAGTATTCAGGCGAGGTTTGAGTGCACATTCTCTCTCTATAACTTTCAATTTGTGGCCGAGCAACTTAATTTTCAAGACTCCAACACATTGGCACAACACATCACACACACACACACACACACACACACACACACACACACACACACACACACACACACACACACACACACACACACACACACACACACACACACACACACACACACACACACACAGACAGATCTGCAGTGTGTAACTCACAGGGTGAAGTTCTCCTCCAGGTAACAGCGGTTCCTCAGTAGCCCCGCCCACAGCTGCACGCCGATGATACCGAAGATGAAGAAGACGAAGAAGCACAGCAGCAGCACGTTGCCCAGCATGGGCAGAGTGTCGAGCAGCAGGTTCACCAGGATACGCATACCTGTGTGTTTCAGAAAATCAATCAATCAATCGTCAAGGATTATCTCTGGTTTATACCGTAATCAAGGGTATTTGCATATAGATTGCTTTGTTGCACAACTTCTCTTCTGTATGTAGAACGCTACTGTAAGTCTCTTTACATTAAACGGCATACTACTGAAAAACTACAATGAAGGCCTCATTCATTTTAAGCTACTAAATGTTTCTACTAATATGTTCAGCAGGAACTGATTGCTTCTTTCCCTTACCACACAAAGATCATAGCGAGGTAGTGGATGGTTGATTTGCCAAATGTTGATTTAAATCCTGAATCCAACATGTGGTAATATTAAGGCTACTGAAAAAGCATTATTTAAGGTTGGAAACATCCTGTTTTGGGTTAAATATTTAAAAAGAGGAAGCCTCAAATCATTCTTGACTCTTTTTATATTTGAGCAAGCATGGCATCATTCCCTCACATTTAACATATTCTATGATACAGCATATATATATAATATATATATATTGTCCTGTGAATATTTTGGGACTTTCCAGATATATTTGCTAAAAACATTTATATGCTGATATAAGGTGAATCAGAGTAGTATTAAATTCCCTTTTGAATATATTTGCTGTTGCAATTAAGTAATTTAATGGAATCTGTCTGACACACCCACTACAGCCTTTCAAATTCTTCTAATGACAGCAGACTGACTTGAAAACAGATACAGTATCACGTCCACCTTGTGAACAAACATGCTAATGAGGCTACAGGAGGTCTTACTCATGATTAGATGAACCCTAATTGCAGAAATAAATGCCTGTCCCCTGTCGACCCTGTCCCCTGTGGATGGGTCTGTCCTGCAGTGATGACATATTGAGATATAATGACAGCTGATTGGACTGGGATGTGAGACCGAGGTGAAACCTACTGATGAGATCATAGCCACCCCTTACTGACACCTGAGGGAGTTGTGTGTGTTTTGGTGTTACTATGAGTGTGATTATATGTGTGTATGCCTCTAATTATCTGACGTGTGTGTGTTTGTTTCATTGCCATGCTGGGATTCGTGAATAACAACTCAACAGTAGGTTAATGTGTCATCAACATAACAGTGCATCTAAACTGCCAACAGCCTGAATGACAGAAGAGAAGCTGAGAGAGAGAGAGAGAAGGTGAGGACGAGAGCGATAGATCGTTGATGATGATTTACACATGTAGACAATATTTACAAGACTGCAAATGTATGAGGTCAATGCACCACATACAGACCATAAACGCTGTGTAAACAAATAATGGCACAAGAAAAGTCCCCCCATTCTCTCAAGTGCTAATCAATGCTGCATCTGTATAGTCAAGTGATTATGTGATTGTTTTAAATGTGTGAGCTAGTGTTTCCGGCACACATTTTTCTAAATCAACATACAGTACAGTGTGCAGATGCCTGTGTAGAATTGGTTGATTTTAATACAAGTTGTTAATAAAGTATTTCAATCAATGTAAAGTGTGGTCAAAGTTGCAGCTTTTGCTAAACTTTTGGAATAATATCAAGATCAAGCCTGACTTTGGCCGAGTTCTCTGTAGAGAAAAGACAGCGTTCAACAATGACACAAAGACATGAAATGTTTGTGTCAATTCTGAGTTGGAAAGCAATAAAGCAATAAAACAGAAATGTAGGAATCCATGAACATTTTAGAACAGATTCTTCTTGAGGCGAGTTCGCACTCATCTTCCTCCTTGGGCTAATTTGTCTCGTCAACCGGTATTAAATGGAGAGCAGTAGTGTCTCCGGTGCGTTTGTCTCTAGTGCGTATGTGTCTCTTGTGGCGGCTGCAGGCGAGTCTAAATGTGTTTTTTCCCCAGGGTCCATGTCATTAGGCCACTGTTCCATTAGGCCTAATTGTGTGGAGAGAGAAAGAGACGAATGGAGGGGGGGGGGGGGACAAGAATAAGTCAAAGCCCAAGGGCGTGCCGAAATAAAGGGTAGTGCTAAAATAATAAAAGGGAGCTTAAGAAGAACGGAGCAACTAAAAGAAAAACAAAACACAAATAATAGAGAGAAAAGCAACAAATCACATTTTGTCCCAGCCTTTTATGCTTTTCCCCTCCTTTTTTCGCTCCTTCGCCACCTTCTTCCATCTCTCTGCTTCCTGCTGTTTCACGTTAAAGATGGACGCCTCCCCTTGCGCCACAACGGAAACACACTTACAGCTGTATGCCTGTGCTATTTACTAAACCAGTAGAGTTCTCTTTTCATCCTCCTAACACTAGTTTATGAAGTGTTTTGTCTTTCCCACTCCAATTCTGTCTAGCACTCCCACTATCTGACACCCTTTCCACCAAAAAACAAGTCTAACACAACAGCACAGCACGATTATCTATCATTTTGTTGGAGGGTTACAAATTGAGGTGTGTGAGGGGCCAGGATGTGCTAGTGCTCTCTGTGTATCTGTGGGCTAAATAATCACCCAACAACACAAGGTACAAATAGCTTTATCCCCATGCTTCCCAAGTCATAATGGGATCACTGATACTGGAGGAAATCACACAGTCCTGCTTACTGATCTTAACGTACACAATAAATGACGATGCACAAGCAACAACAGTTATATGAACAGGTATAAATAACATAAAGTAGGCTTGTGCAAACAAACACTATATATATATATATATATCAACTATACATATGCTAACAAACCCACATATCTGGAGACTTATGCTATAATGCATAATCATCTCTAGAAAAGCAGATGTGTCTACAATCTGTGCTCTTCCTAAAACACTATGCCCACTCTACTGCACACAGTTTCTTATAAAACCCCCTGAGGTTTAGTGCAGTTTTTATTCGTATAACCAATGCGCTGTTGTTTTTGGCTACGAGCAGGTTCTTAGTTAATGGCTCCTCCTGAAAGACAGCTTAAATGTGTGAAAAATGTAAATCTATCCGACACTGAAGACAGACTCTCTTTTCAGGTAATCACACTGAATAGAATCTCCCGTGATTGGACATTTACGTGGGGAGCAAAAAATCTGTTGTATTTGTTCGAGGTGGAGAAAAAGCTATGATCGTGTAACTGAAGTAAGATGAGTACGTACGTTAGCTTTAGATGTTGGCTTGTGAAAATACAACAAAGACAGCTGAGCTTGTGGACTAAAGGGTTGGAACAGCCAAAACAAGAGGACACTCAGAGAGCCAGAGAGCGTCTAAAAGCAGACCCAAACACATCCACTCTAGGGCTGCAAAGCCTGCGATTTATTTTAACATTTTCTTTTTTTTACATTTTTTTTGTTCTTCTTGTGTGTCAGTCATCCACACCAATCAGAAGTGCTGTGCTCCACATGTACCATCCATTGTTAACCAATCAGAAGTGGCCCATGATAGAAAGTGATAGAAAGATTGATCCAATCACCTGCCAAGTATTTTTGAAAGTGCCTGCCCTTTTCCAAATGGCTTCCAATGGAGCTTTCCCAGATGGTTTGGTGAAACAAACCATCTGAGTCAGGTTAGTAATGATCCATCACATGTTTCTATTGCAGGGTGAATCTTAAACTGAAGCTTGACTTTAAAGCAACCCAACGGAAGTTTCATGTAAGTTTAGTTCTTTCACTCCTAGCTCGGGCTGCGGGGGTGCTAGAGACAGGAGCACGTTGGTAAGACCTTCCTAGCCGGAGGAATGGCCGCATTTTACAATAAACTTCCGTTGGGTCGCTTAAAAATAAATATCGCAAATCGAATCCCAATATTTGTCAGAAAAATCGCAATTCGATTTTTTCCCAAAATCGTGCAGCCCTAATCCACTCTAAATGGTCCTTTCTCTCCCTCACTGAATCAGACCATAAGCTACATCTGCTATGGACTCATGTCATGTTAAGAAAGACACTTCAGTTACCTAAAGATATTGATGAAGAGTTTCAAGTTGCTTTGTTTGGCCAATTGACCTTTATAAGAAATGGATTGCATGA